GGAAGCGTTATGGAACGGTCGAGAAGAGAAGTAAAAAGAAAGGGAGGGTGGAAATAGGATGAATATGTTTCGAGTATATTCTTTAATCGTATGAAGTAATATTTGTATATTTATGGTGCATGTGTGTGTAAAATATTTGATCTTCATTGTTAAATAATGATATAGTGATGAAAGAGGAAAGTGAGTGAAATAGAAGAGTAATATAAAAGAGTAAAATTAGATAATGAAGTGGTAAACTGGTGAAGTATTAAAATATTAAAATAGTGAACAAGTAAAATAGTAAAGTATTGAAACGTTAAAATAGTGAATAAGTAAAATGGTAAAGTATTAAAATATTAGAATAATGAACAAGTAAAATAGTTAAGTATTCAAATATTAGAAAAGCAAACAAATAAAATAGTGAAGTATTAAAACATTATAATTGTGAACAAGTAAAATAGTAAAGTATTGAAACGTTAAAATAGTGAACAAGTAAAATGGTAAAGTATTAAAATATTAAAATAATGAACAAGTAAAATAGTGAAGTATTCAAATATTAAAAAAGCAAACAAATAAAATAGTGAAGTATTAAAACATTATAATTGTGAACAAGTAAAATAGTAAAGTATTGAAACGTTGAAATAGTGAACAAGTAAAATGATAAAGTATTAAAATACTAAAATTGGAAACAAATAAAACGGTAAAGTATTAAAATATTAAAATGGTAAAATGATAAAATGGTAAAATATTAAAATATTAAAATACTAAACAAGTAAAATAGTTAAATATTGAAATATTAAAATAGTAAAATACTAAAATATTGTAATACTGAAGTAGTAAACCACTAAAATACTAAAATACTAAAACAGTAAAAATACCAAAATTAACAAAAAAAAAACCTTGCAACATATTTCAGAACAATTTCAGTCTTGTAATATAAATAAGGTGTAGGAAAATGATTTGAAACACGATTCGTTTAAGATTCAATTTTATTAAATATCTATCTGATATATTAGACTACTATGTATTATACACAATGTACATATATACAACCTATCGATATAATTACATTCTACCTAATTAAAGGCGATAAACTGGGATCTCTTGACTGTTCACACCTCTCACTATTTTCTATACAATCACATTATGTGGCTCGTTTTCTCCATTCATCTAATCTATTTGAACCAAACCATCCGAGTGCAATAATACACAAAATCGTGTTATTTCATCTCAACATTAGAACCAATTTTTGCAATTTCATATATCAAAACAAAAATTATTGCAAAAATCTATTTTGCGAACTTTAATGATTTTATAAAATTACTTTTGAAATTTTTAGCAAAATTGAAATATATTATAGTATGCATTTCTAGCAAATTCAAATGGTTCTTAAACAATTTAAAAAATTTTTTAAATGTTGCAAATTTCGAATACGTCAAATTCTCACAAAATTGAAAATTGAAGATACTGTAAATAAATAAATTAATTTGTTCCAATGTTAAGATGTATACTGGCCTCCGTTCACATTGATCGCCATCGATGGCTTTTAAAATCTAAATCCGAAATAATAAGAGAAGAAATATTTTCGAATATCAATGATACAAAGTAGCACAGTGCAAATTAATTTTTATCATCTTAGATAGATGTTTATGATCCATATTGTTGAAATTCAGAAGACTTCTACTTTCGAGTGAAAAGAAGACAGAGAATCTAAGGACAGATTCTACTTATTTTATTTATAATAATTATCTATCGGTTCTATATTATCTTCTCGTTACAATATACAGATTTATGTAAAATGTCGCTATTTTGGGGATGAAGAGATTTTTTAGCGTTCTAGAATTTTATATAGTTTCCATAAAAATTCTAAATTTTATCTTTCGAATTAAAATTCGAGAGCTTAGAATTTCAGGCGAATTAAGAAATTTTTCAGAATTCTAAATTAGAAATAGGTAAATTCTAAACGAGAATTTTGTACTTTAGAATTCTACATTTTTCTTTGATAAAATTAATTTTTACTCGAGGAAAATTATCTTAGCAAAATTAATAATTATCCAAGAAAAATTAATTTTTATCTCGACAAATTTTTATCAAATTTTTCTCTTGACTTCATCAAATTTTTCTCTTGACAAATTTTTATCAAATTCATTTTTATCTTGACTGAGAAAAATTAATTTTTACTCAAGGAAAATTATCTTAGTAAAATTAATAATAATCCAAGAAAAATTAATTTTTATCTCGACAAATTTTTATCAAATTTTTCTCTTGACTTCATCAAATTTTTCTCTCGACAAATTTTTATCAAACTCATTTTTATCTTGACTGAGTAATTTTCACCCTGCCAGCATTAAATGCTTAAACAAATAAAATTTTATCTAAACGATATTAAAATTTGTAAAAACACCAGGTACCAAAATATTGAAAATGAAAATATTTCAATTATTTTTCTAAATACCATAAAAAATCGACCTGCATAAAATTCTAAAACTCCAAAGAAGAATTTCACCCCCCAATCATTCGACAAGAACTTCATATTTTATATATACACTGATATCAATAATTCTCGAACGAAAATCTGAAATTCCACGATATTCACATCGACATTAATTAATAAGTGGAATATGTTGATCGAATTCAACACAGATATCTTTGGTTTCACCCCTAAAAATTTCTACAACGGAAAGGACACATTCTTTCAATTTCGAGTCGTGTCTCGTGATGGTCGTTGATCTGGCAGTATTTCTTTTATGCTAAACAACAAGGAGACAATTGTAATTGTTATAAACAATTCTCGTTATTCTGTTAACATTCTTCCAGACTCTATGTCATCTATTCTAATAATACGTTTGATCCTTAACACTCTTACTAGCAATTTCTTCTCTTGATAATTTATTTTCTCGTTCATTGTTGATATATTTTATTGTACGTTTGTAATTTATCGTATTTCATTGTCGACGATCATTTCGATTTTTACTGATTAATTTTTATCGAATTTTTATTCAAATATTTTTTAAGTTAAGTGTATTATTGTTTTCAAAGATAATTTTTCATTCACAAATTTTATTGTTAACCGTTCACAAAATCGATTATTGTGAAGGGGTAGAAATTTATATTTTTCTTTAAATTGTTGCAAACAGTGTTATTTATAAATTATTATTAGTATGATAGCAATGTTCACAGATTTATGTTATTATATTGTTGTTATCACAAATTTTTTAAAGTTCCTCTAGAATTTAAAAAAATTATCTGGAACTTCAGTAATTTATTTAAAATTCAGATAATTTATTCTCTATCAAGTTTACAAGATTTTCAGCTTGTAATAATTCAATCATAATTCTTGAACCTTCACAAACATCACAAAACTATTAAGATGATATAATTCACGAACTTTCCCGACGATTTTGTGATAGGTTAATCGCTATGATCGTCGACAATGCATCTTGTCGACAACTTGTGTCTGGAATATTCACAAACATCACAAGATTCGTTAACGTGATCTTCAACGAAGCACAAGACCTTACAGACGACCTTGTGATTAGGCAGTCGATAATGATCCACTTGATGCATCCACAGTCACAAGATCCATCACTATGATCCTCGATTATGCAATGATTCTGTGATTATGTTATCTTATGATCGTTGACGATTATGTAACTTTCATCTTCAATGTTCTCAAATATCACAAAAGTGATCGTTGAAGTTTGTAAGCTTTTTATGAAGTTTTGTGATCATCTAGTTAAACTTTCAGAGTGGTCACAAGTATCAAGATTAAATGTGATTCTTGACGAAGCTTAAGAAGGATTTTGTGACAGTTGTTATAGTTGTTGAGAGTTGTCCTTTGTGATCGTCACAAGCATCACAAAATCAATTAACACAATTTTCGATGAAGTTAATAGATCTTCGATAGAACTTCGTGAATATTTAATTGTTGTGATTGATGGAGGTAGTCCGAATGTCACAAGATTCTTTGGTATGATCACAAACGAAGTTCACAAGCCATTCAAACGATTTTGTGAACATCTAGCTACCATACTAGTAAATGTTGCTTATTATGGAATGTTCAAACGTCACCAAATCTGTAAGTACGATCACAAAGCAGCTTCACAAATCATCGAAACGATTTTGTGAACAGCTAGCCATAATAGAGAAGTCTTGAGTGTTCCAAAAGTCATCAAATCCAGAAGTCCATCACAAACCAGATTCGCAAGCCATCCAAACGATTTTGTGAACATCTAGTTGTCACAGAACGTTGATGTAACTTGAGTGTTCCAAACGTCACCCACTCCATGAATAGGATCACAAACGAGGTTCACAATGTGTGAAGAATGTTGTGATGCTGATCTGATTATCATAATTGTTGAAGGTAGTTCATCTCCAGTACACCAAGCATCACAAGACTGATCAGGATGATGCTTCACAAAGTTCACAATCCCCAAATAGTTTTGTGGCTATCCTATTGCCAGAACTGTTGAAGGTCCATCTTGAGGGTGTCAAACATCACAAAATCTGTTAGAATGATCACAATCGAAGTTCACATTGTTCCAAGCAATTTTGTGACTATCCAGTTGTTATAGTCTTTGAAGGTTCATCTTGAGGGTGTCAAACATCACAAAATCTGTCACAATGATCACAATCGAAGTTCACATCGTTCCAAGCAATTTTGTGACTATCCAGTTGTTATAATTCTTGAAGGTCCATCTTGAGCATATCAAACGTCACAAAATCTATGAGGATGATCACAAACAGAGTCCACGTCTTCCAGACAATTTTGTGACTATAAAATTGTCATAATTCTTGAAGGTCCATCTTGAGCATGCCAAACGTCACAAAATTTATCAGGATGATTACAGAGTCCAGACAATTTTGTGATCACTTGTCATAATTCTCGAAAGTCCAAACGCCACAGAAATCATGAGAATGATCACAGAGTCTCGTCCAAATAATCTTGTGACTATCAGTTCGCCATAGTCAATCCATTCCGTAGCTCGAACCATCACAAACTTCATGAGTGTGATCAGAACCTTCCAGCTGATCCCATGAACGTCCAATCACCATAATGTCGACAGTAACCCATTCCTAGTATCTCTAACGTCATATCGCTTCGTCACAAAACCCATCGTGATCACAACCGAAGCAGCCTTGCAGATTCCATGAATATCTGATCACCATAATGTCGACAGTAACGCATCCCTAGTATCTTGACGTCACAAACCCCATCGTGATCACAACCGAAGCAGCAGATTCCATGAACATCCAATCACCATAATCCTCAACAATAACCCATTCCCAGTATCTCAAACGTCACATCAGTCCTTCACAAACTCCATTGCGATCACCTTCCACCTATGATCACCTTCCACCTATGATCGCCTTCCACCCGATTCCATAACCACCCCATAATCAAAGTCTCAACCAAAATGTCCCGACATCCCAGTCCACCCTTTACCACCAGTACGGTTTCTGCATGTACGGCGGCATGGGTACTTGTCCCGCCGCAGGATAAGAAGTAGGTTCCATCAGCTTCGACTGACAAGGTTTCCCATCCTTGATCAGCAACGGCACCGCGACTCTCCTCGGCGAACATCCGCTTCCTCCAGCCTCTACCCTCTCGGTGGCGGCCCTCTTCGTCTTGTACCTGTGGTTCTGGAACCAGATCTTCACCTGCGTGGGCGTCAGCCGAATGATCGACGCCAGGTGTTCCCTCTCCTGCGCGCTCAGGTATCTCTGTTGACGGAAACGTCGTTCCAGCTCGAAAGTCTGAGCCTTCGAGAACAACACTCGTCTCTTCCTCTTCTTGTGCTCGGTTTCGTGGGGCTGGGTCTCGTTCGCTTGTTGTTCGTCCTCGAAGTCCGCGGACTCCTCCTCCTTGCAGTCGTGGTTGTTCTCTTGTTTTGGCGGGAATGATAGGTCGGAGATGGTTGGACTGGTCGAGTCGGGCTGCTGGAGCACTGCAATGGCGAAAGTGGCGCGGTTAGTGGGTTGGTTTAAGCTTCCGAATGGTCTGTAAGTAGAGCAAGAAGATGTGCGTGAGGGTGAGGGCGAGATCTGAGGGTGAGATGAGTTCAGTGGAGACTGATCTTTTGGGGTCTTGGAGGATTAGGTTAGGTTAGGATTCAAATTTAGGGTTAGGTTTCTAACCAAGTTTGGAAAATTGGTTGGCTGGGATTTAGAGATGTTTGAGGTTTGAGAAGGTGGGATGGGATTTAGAAATATTTGAGGTTATGGGATTTTGGAAATTTGGGAGGTTAGACTTTGCAAGTTTTGGGATTTGCAGATTAGAACTTTGGGATGTTTCAGAGTTGGGAGATTTGGTAGATGGGGATATTTGAGATTTGAGGGTTGGATTATGGGATTTTGGAAATTTGGGAGGTTAGACTTTGTAAGTTTTAGGATTTGCAGGTTAGAACTTTGGGATGTTTCAGAGTTGGGAGATTTGGGAGTTGGAGATATTTGAAGTTAGAGGATTGGATTATGGGATTTTGGAAATTTGGGAGGTTAGACTTTACAACTTTTGGGATTTGCAGATTACAATTTTGGGATGTTTCAGAGTTGGGAGATTTGGTAGATGAAGATGTTTGAAATTTGAGGGTTGGATTATGGGATTTTGGAAATTTGGGAGGTTAGACTTTGCAAGTTTTAGGATTTGCAGGTTACAATATTGGGATATTTCAGAGTTGGGAGATTTGGTAGTTGGAGATATTTGAGGTTAGAGGGTTGGATTATGGGATTTTGGAAATTTGGGAGGTTAGACTTTGCAAGTTTTAGGATTTGCAGGTTTCAATTTTGGGATGCTTCAAAGTCGGGAGATTTGGTAGATGGAGATGTTTGAGATTTGAGGGTTGAATTATGGGATTCTGGAAATTTGGGAGGTTAGACTTTGCAAACTTTGGGATTTGTAGGTTAGAAACCTTGAGATGCTTCAGAGTTGAGAGGTTAGAAATTCAGAGTATTTGAAATCTGAAAGATTGAGAATTTGAAATGTTGTAGATTTGGAAGGTTAGGATTTTGGAATGTTTCAAATTTAGAACTCTTAAAATTCAACAAGTTTGAACTTTGGAATATTTGAAATTTGAGAAATTTGGTGCTTTTGAAATTTAACAAGTCCAAACCTTGCAATGTTTAAGATGTTATGAGGTTAGATTTGCAATGCTTGAGATGTGATGAGGTTAGGTTTAGTATGTTGGAAACTTGATAACTTACTGCTCTTGAAATTTAAACTTTCACCATTCATACATCTTAATAGAAACATTAATATCTTCATAAAAATCAAAATATTTTGATAAAAGTATTGACAATGTGAATTTTATAAAAAGCCATAAAATCTATATATACATATACCTAACACGCATTTAATAGTATGTCTACACGTAATTACACGGTTGGCATTCATTCTGTTTCGAAAATCGATGAGGGTCATTTAAGAAACTAACCAGGTCATCCCGTAAATGACTAGAACGAACTGCAGCTGCATTACACCCTTTAACGATGATTGCAGGCAGATGTAACCTTGTATTGATTTTTTTCAATCTACAATCTATACGATTTCAGAGAACCTCTCCATCAATAATTTAAAAAAAAAGAACGACCAGAATAATTTTTAAAAATTATTACAAAATAAAAATTATAAAACTAATTTTACTGAAAATTGTTTGGTTTCAAAAAATTCTTTAGGGTTGAAATAATACTATTTTATTTTTTACTGCTTTGTCAGTCAATTTTTTTATTCACTATCCCATTATTTACTCATTAAAAATGATTATGAAATGAAAATTATTAAATTAGTTTTATTGAAAATTGTTTGGTTTCAAAAAATGCTTTAGGGTTGAAATAATACTATTTTATTTTTTACTGCTTTGCTACTTAATTTTTTTATTTTCTACCTCATTATTTACTCATCATTTACTTCATTATTTACTTTCCTAATTTAATTTGTTATTTCTCCACTTATATCATTTATCACTGTTTACTTTCATAATTTAATTTCAACCAAAATATCCGATTCCAAGAAATCATATCGATTAAAACGATAGAATCGGTGTTCCCGAAAGCATCAATCTTGATAGCAGTTTCTCGAACAAGGATCCAATTAATCGTCAAGCGATATCTTTCGAAAGACACAGCCATAGCGAGTGTCTAATTGAAATCACGACGAGACTGCGACTACAGCCTAATCTCCCGTGAAAATGATACAGTCGATCCCATGGGGTGCAGTAGGGTATCAAGCGCTCTGTATATTGCTTCACACCCTCCCCTAACCAGGCTTAGGAATCGTTCACAAAGACTATTGTATGCCAAACCGAGACAGGGGATTCCGAGTTGTACATTAAATTAGCGTGTCTCTCGGCCACCGTGATATTTGCCACTTTAACATATCTCTAATCATAATATTGTTGGATTAAATGTCGGACATGTTTCCTCCATTATTTTCTACTTTTTCAATTTTATTATTTTTGCATGAAAATTATTTGTGATTACAATTATAATTGATTGGGAAATTGTTGAAAGTTCTACGATTTGAATTTATAAGCTTGAAATGATTTAAGGGTGTACATTTTTAAATAGACGTATATGGATTTTGAAATTTTTAATTTTTTAAATAGGTATGTTTACTAATTTCAGTATTTGCAAATTTTAATATTTTTAGATTAGAATATTTGCAAATTACAATATTTACAAATTCAGAAAATTGCAAATTTCAATATTTTCAGATAAAAATATTTGCAAATTACAATATTTACAAATTCAGAAAATTGCAAATTTCAATATTTTCAAATTGCAATATTTACAAATTATAATATTTTCAAATTCCAGCGTTTCCAAATTTCAAGATTTCTAAATTCTAATATTTCCAAATTCCAAGATTTCCAAACTCCAAGATTTCCAAATTTCAATATTTCCAAATTTCAATATTTCCAAATTCCAAGATTTCCAAATTCCAAGATTTCCAAATTCCAAGATTTCCAAATTCCAAGATTTCCAAATTCCAAGATTTCCAAATTCCAAGCTTTCCAAATTCCAAGATTTCCAAACTCCAAAATTTTCAAATTCCAATATTTCCAAATTCCAATATTCCCAAATTCTCAACCCCTCAAATTTCTACGTCCCCATATTCCCGAATTCCCAAATTCTCAACCCCCCCAAATTTCTACATCCCCAAATTCCTATATTTCCAAATTCTCAACCTCCCCCAAATTTCTACGTCCCCAAATTCCAATATTTCCAAATTCTCAACCCCCCAAATTTCTACACCCCCAAATTCCTATATTTCCAAAATCTCAACCCCCCAAATTCCTATATTTCCAAATTCTCAACCCCTCAAATTCCTATATTCCCAAATTCCTAAATTCCCAAATTCCTAAATTCCCAAATTCTCAACCCCCCAAATTCCTATATTTCCAAATTCTCAATCCCTAAAATTTCTACACCCCCAAATTCCTATATTTCCAAAATCTCAACCCCCCAAATTTCTACACCCCTAAATTCCTATACTTCCAAATTCTCAAACCTTCAAATCTCCAAAACCCCAAAATCCCAAAAACCCCAAATCTCCAACTCCTCAAATCTCCATCTTCCAAATCCCCACCCTCGAACTTCAAAAAACTCTACCTTCTCAACAATTTCTCAAAAAACCCTAAAACTTGTCCCCAAAAAACCCTCTCCAAAGAACAGTCCAACACTACCCTTATAACATTACCCTTGAAACACCACCCTTGCTACACTAGCCTTGTACACTATCCTGTACCAAGAAAAATATATAGAGAAAGCGAAAAATCAGTAAAGGAAGAGATAAAGAGAAGACATGAAAAGATGGGATAGGCCAGCAGAGTATTTTTTGGGCGTGACAATTTCGATTCATCGAGGGCAACATGCATCTGCCCTCCAAGGGACATCTGTTCCAGTGTTCGAGCCAATCGGCACACAGGACCCACAAGGACCTTTTATAGGACCATTAGATCCTGCTTAGCCGACGCGGGCCAATTGTAGGGTGTTAAATAAATAAGGGTTTTCGAGCTGGGCCCCTCTATCAACGGATCTTCTGCACGGGTTTTATGGATACTCTCTCCTGTCGATTTCTCTATACCGGTGAATTTTGTAGACTGAGAAAGAGATTCGCTTTTTGTAGGATTCGAAGACTATTTTCTAATCCTTTAGTATTGTGCTTTTTGAGAAGTTTTTGGGGAAATGTATATGTTTGTTATTAAAAATGTAGTCTTGTGTGTCGACATAGTTGTATGTTGTTTTATATGTCACTTTTGTAACAGCTGAATTTTATATGTAAATGTGAAATGGAAGAACTGTATGATTTTATAAAATTTTATAATAAAATTGCATGGTTGTGGAACTGCAACGTGTGGGAAAATTATATGATTTTCAAAAAACAGCATTATGTAATGATGATGGAAGCAGTAAGATAAGATTGTATGATCACAGTTAAAACATAGTAAAATTGTTAAAACATTTTTAAAAATTGTATGATCTTGCTAACTGATTGTAGGATACAATTGTATAATGACATAACAGTATCATGCTGTAGAATTGTACATACAGCAACATCATGTAATCTAGCAATGGTCATATTGAATTTTATTGTTCAAGAAGAGTGTGAACAAATTTGTCTAATTTATTTATAAGGAACTTCTTTCTTTCTAATAAGGAATTACACTACTGAGTATTGATTCTGGTGAAGAGATACAGTATTGATTGTTAATTCTAATGAAGATTATTGATTCTGGTGAAGAAACAGAGTATTGAATGTTAATTCTAATGAAGATTATTGATTCTGGTGAAGAGACCGAGTATTGAATGTTAATTCTAATGAAGATTATTGATTCTAACAAAGAATTGAAATATTGAATGCTGATGAAGAATCATAACATTGATTCTGATAAAAAATGAAAGTATTAAATATTGATTTTGACGAACACCGCACATTATCAATGACTCACGAAGGTATTAATTAACATTCTGTCACTCACCATTCACCTCTTCCAAGGGTTGAGGCAAGGTGGTGGGTAACGTCGGAGCAGTGGGCCACCCTAGTAATCCAGGTGGTGGTGGCGGTAACGTGCCCCTGTTTAAATTCGCATATATCGCCGGTTGCAACATGGCCGTCGTGTGCTCGAAGAACTGCTGGTACGCCGACGGTACATCGTTCGTGCTTGGCAGAACTGTTGTGCTACCTATTAATTAAAAATTTCACCATTTTTATCGCATTCAAGTATACAAAATGTTAGACTAATGTTAACTCTGTTAATCTAATTCTGTTAATCGGTATGCGAGTCCAACTATTTTCAGCATTGGTGTAAATTTACAATCTATTGCTCCAACTCTACTGTCTTACTCATTACTTCTATGATCTAGTGATCCAACTCAAGTATTGTTATTAATTTTAAAATGATGGAGATTTTTACCTTGAACTTCAGTCTCTTCCTGCGATGGCTTAGAGTCCAACTGCAGTATGTCATGGATGTGGAAGCCTGTCCTTGGCATCTTGATGCTCTCCAATATTCTATAACAACACAATACCAAGGACAAATTAAATAATTGTTTGATGACATCGTTTGAATTGCAATACTAATGAAGCACTATAAATTCATTCGTCAAAAAATTTGAAACATTTCAGGACACATAGTAGCAAAATATCAAGGTTAATGTACATAATTTTCTTATTAGATAATTTCTACATACATTCAAAATTAAAAGAAGCAAAAATAATTTGTATTATATGATTACTTCCCATGCAAAAATATTCTCTTAAGCATAATATAAAAATGTCTGAATATTTTTTATTTAATATTTTTTCAACAAGGTGTTTACATATATGTTCAAAAATTTTCTAGACTCCAATTACCAAGTTTCCAAATTTTCTAAACTCCAATTTCTCAAATCCTCAAATTTCCTAGGCTCCAATTACCAAGTTTCCAAATTTCCTACACTCCAATTTCTCAAATCCTCAAATTTCCTAGGCCCCAATTACCAAATTCTAAAATTTTCTAAACCCCACTTAGCACGTTCCCAAATTTCCTAGACCCCAATTTCTCAAATCCCCAAATTATCAAGTTCCCAAATTTCCTAGACTCGAATTTCTCAAATCCTCAAATTTCTTAGGCCCCAATTACCAAATTTCCAAATTTCCTAGACTCCAATTTCTCAAATGCCCAAATTTCCTAGACCCCAATTCCTCTGATCCCCAAATTCTAATATTCCAAAATTCCCACATCCCCAAATTCTCCAAATTCCAAAACCCCCAATTTCTCGAAACTTTCAAAATTCCCCAAAAACTAGAAAACAGAAAGAGCACTTTAGTAGCAGGTTACGGTATCTTTATCGACAGACAAGAACGTGCCGCGATAATAGGTCGTTTGGCTTAAACCTTAGACTTAAACTACAAGGTTCTGAAGCGCGTTTCTGTGGCTGTGAACAGGTTGTTTGGCAGGAAAACTGCAGGTACCCACGAGCTGCGTGTCCTTTCACGAGAAAGATTTCATCTAATCGGGTCTTAAGTATCCCGCTGGCTTCTTGACGCTCGTCACCGACGTTTCCATGCCGCCGGCTAACTTACAAAATTGGATTGATTTGCTACGAAACCGACCTTTGTGCACGACTTTTCGACTCGCGAAATCCTTTTATAAACATCACCGAACCACCTTATCTGCCATTTTCTTCTGTCATTGATATTTGTCATATTTATCGTGTCATTATTGAACGTCTAAGAAACTGGTGGAAAATATAAGAAATAAAAATTATGGGGACGTTACTGATGCTTTGATATTTTTTTCCAAACGTGAAACTAGAAATTGTAATCAAATTTTGAAATTCAAATAAGTAGAAAGGAAGTTTAAGAATTTCTAATTTGCCTATTCTTATATTTTGTTTGTTCCAAGTTCCAATTAAGATTTGCATAAAAATTGCTAGCATAAGGCAAAGTTTCCAGAGAAAATATGAAGTGAAGTTCGTGCAAGGAAATTATTTCTAGCAGTATTCTAAAGTTTTTCAATTTTGGGAAGCTAGACGAAGTCTAATGAAGAAACTTCAGCAAGAAACGAAAATGAGTTTACCAACTTTTTCATTAAATTGAACTTTGTTATTATTCATCCTTTATCACAAACAAAATCTTCAATTAAATTTTTCTGGAAATACAATTTTTCTGTGTAATAAAAATATTTACACAATTTTCTCAAAAATAACAAATGAATAATTTGATTGAAATTTGTAATAAAAATAAGTTTTAATAATTTAAGAGATTTGATAAGTGGAAAGCATCAAAGTCACCTAATTACACAATTTAATTATTAATAGAAATTTTGAATAATTTAATTAATATCAAACTTGAAGAGCATTGAAGTCACTAACTATTACACAATTTAATTATTAACAAAAAGTATGAATAATTTAATTAATATCAAACTTGAAGAGCATCGAAGTCACCAATTATTACAAAATTTTATTATTACCAAAAAGCATAAATAATTTAATGAATTTGAAAATTGAGAAGCATCGAAGTCACCAACGATTACACCATTTAATTAAACGACCATGTAATTAATCATTTAACGTCTCTATCGTTTTTAATTATTGTTTGTCTACGATCAACATGCAAAGTTTAATCGACATTGCTCCGTTCTTGATTTTACTCAAGGATATCGATAATCGAACAGATGCTCGTTTCGATAAGCCACGATACATCTCGCCGATGCCACGTGCAAGAATTCGAGGGCCATCAAGATCTACGCTCGATTACCAGACAACATTATCGGTAAAATTATCAATGAATCTCCCTAGTAACTTTTTTTCGCTCTAGTTCCCTATCTGTATTTAGACTACACGCGTTCTTTGAATCATTTTTTACATTTATATTGACAATGAATACTTCTTTTTTATACTTAATTGTGTATCGAGTGTTGAAGTATGTTGAAGTCACTTGTGTTGAAGGTACTTTGGAAATATTAGAGATAAGATGTTGAGGATGAAACATTTTTTTTATTAATAATTGCAGATTGGATACTTGTGTTGAAATTAGTTTTAAAATTTTTAAGATAAGATGTTGAGGATGAAACACTTTTTTGTTATAAATAATTGCAAATTTAATACTTGAGTTGTCATTTTGTAAATTTTGAAGATAAAATGTTCAGGATGAAACATTTTTTTGTTATAAATAATTGCAAATTTAATACTTGAGTTGTCATTTTGTAAATTTTGAAGATGAGATGTTC